TTAAACAATGGTAGAAACCAGTGAAGCTGATTCCTCACACACTATCAACCCTAACTCCCAAATTAGCTCTATGACAAATTACCAGTCTCCTATTCATTCATCTATGATAATCACTAGTCATAGATTGAATGGAACAAACTATCTGGAGTGGTCTCAATCTGTCAGACTTGCAATTGATGGGAGGGGAAAACTGGGTTACATCACAAGAGAAATCCAACCAAAACTACCTACAGAAGAAGGGTACAGTACATGGAGGTCAGAGAATTCACTCATAACAGCTTGGCTTCTCAACTCCATGGAGCCCTTAATTGCCAAACCTCATATGTTTATGAAAACTGCAAAGGAGGTATGGGATTCTATTAAGGAAACTTATTCAGACCTTGAGAACTCTTCTCAAATTTTTGAACTCAAAACCAAATTGTGGCAATCTAAACAAGGAAATAGAGATATTATTTCATACTACAATGAAATGGTATCTCTGTGGCAAGAATTAGATCAATGCTATGACGATGAAGAGTGGGAGAGTGCTAAGGATCTGGCCAGACATAAGAAAAAAGAAGAGAATGATAGGGTCTATATGTTTCTAGCAGGGATCAATAGGGACCTAGATGAAGTTAAGGGGAGGATACTTGGAAAAAAACCTCTACCCTCTATCAGGGAGGTATTTTCTGAAATCAGGATGGAGGATAGCAGGAAAAAGGTCATGTACAACACCCCAGCACCTAATGAGGAACCTGGGGAATCTTCAGCTTTGGTGGCCAGAAGTGATGACAACAAGAAAAAACCTTGGTGTGATCACTGCAAGAAACTGTGGCACACAAGGGATACATGCTGGAAACTCCATGGAAAACCACCGGGAGCTGGGAAGAAGAAAGTAGAAAGGGCCCTACAAACTACTGTGACTGAGACTCAACAAGAGGCAGAAGTTGAACCTAAACAGCTACCATTCACTCAGGAACAGATAGAGTACCTACTCAAATTCATACCCACCCAGAAAATCTCCAACCAAGAAAACCCTACTTGTTCTTTTGCCCAAAATGGTAAAGTAACATCATATTTTTGTTCTGAAAAAACCTAAAAACACCTGGGTCATTGACTCAGGTGCAACAGACCACATGACCTACATTCCAAAGTTTTTTTCTTCTTATCAACCTTGTGCAGGAGATAAGAAAGTTAGAGTTGCAGATGACTCTTTTTCAGCCATAGCAGGGATGGGAAATATTAAAATTTCCTCATCCATTAACCTTTCCAAAGTCTTACATGTTCCTAAACTTTCCTGCAATCTTATCTCTATTAGCAAAATTACTAAAGATCTTCAGTGTTGTGTAAATTTTTTTCCCTCTTATTGCATTTTTCAGGATCTGGCATCAGGGAAGATGATTGGCAGTGCTAGAGAGGAAGATGGCCTCTATACTTTTGATGAAGGAACACAATTGAATAAACAAGGTCAAGAAAAAACTTGTTTGCAAACTGTTTTTCCTTGTAATAATGAAGTGTATTTAATGCACTATAGATTAGGTCACCCAAGTTTTTCCTATCTGAAAATGTTGTTTCCTAAGTTATTTCTTAATAAAAATCCTTCATCATTTCATTGTGATATGTGTGCACTTGCCAAACATCATAGGAGTTCTTACATCCCTCATAGTTACAAACCAACTAGTCCTTTCACTATTGTACACAGTGATATCTGGGGTGCATCTAGAGTTTCAACTCTGAAAGGAAAAAGGTGGTTTGTAACTATCATAGATGATCACACAAGGGTCACATGGGTGTTTTTACTTAAAGAAAAATCTGAGATTGAAGAGGTGTTCAAACAATTTTACTCAATGATCCAAACTCAATTCAACACTAATATCAAAATTGTGAGAAGTGATAATGGACTTGAGTATTTTTCTAAGAAGTTAAATACTTTTTTTGCTGAAAAAGGGATTGTTCATCAAAGTTCCTGTGTAAATACACCTGCTCAGAATGGAATAGCTGAGAGGAAAAATAGACATTTACTTGAAGTCACTCGTGCAATTATGTTTTCTGCTAAAATTCCAAAATATTTATGGGGAGAAGCTGTTTTACATGCTACCTATCTAATTAATAGGATGCCATCAAAAACTCTAGGATTCAAAACTCCTATTGATACTCTTCAAGCTTGTTTTCCTGAAACTAGACTAATTAATTCTCTTCCCATAAAAATTTTTGGATGCACAGTTTTTATTACCAATCCTGACAGAACTGCAAGTAAATTTGACCCTAGAGGGAAAAAATGTGTTTTCTTAGGACTCTCTTCAACTCAGAAAGGCTATAAATGTTTTGACCCTATAACAAAAAAGATGTTTATAACTATGAACACTGTTTTTGTAGAAGATCAACCTTTTTTTGGTACTCATCTTCAGGGGGAGATTTCTAATGAAGATGGTAATAATGTATCACATATCCATGAAAAACTTGAACCTCTTGACATTAATCTAGATGCACAGTATAATAGACAGTTAGATGCACTAGAAAATAGTCAAGAGTCAAAAGAAAATGATTTTTTTTTTCTGAAACAAGGAAAGATGATGAACAACAGACAAGTAAGTTTTTTGGCAAGGTTTATGAAAGGAGAGTTCCAAATCACAGAATAGAGGACATCCCTGATCCTGCCACTGTCCATGAATCTGACTCAATGCCAGAAAATGACAAAGGTAATAATTTCAGTGATCTAAATCTACCCATTGCTCTCAGAAAAGAAAAAAGGTCATGTGTTAAATACTCTATCTCAAACTATCTGTCCTATTCTCAGTTATCTACATCATTTGCAGCCTTTACCTCTAGCCTTTCCACTGTCTCTATTCCCTTAACCATACAGGAAGCTCTATCTATACCTGAGTGGAAGAAGGCTGTTTTAGAAGAAATGAATGCCCTTGAAAAGAATCAGACATGGCAGACTGTAGAGGTACCCAAAAACAAACCAAGGGTTGGATGCAAATGGGTGTTTACCCCTAAATTCAAGGCAGATGGTACACTTGAAAGATATAAGGCCAGATTGGTTGCCAAAGGATACACACAAACCTATGGCATAGATTATACAGAAACTTTTGCACCAGTTGCAAAATTAAATACTATAAGGATCCTACTATCTCTAGCTACTAACCTAGACTGGCCTCTTCAACAGTTAGATGTGAAGAATGCTTTCCTAAATGGGAAGCTTGAAGAGGAAGTATACATGAGCCCTCCTCCTGGGTTTGAGGAACAATATGGCTCAAAGGTGTGCAAGCTAGAGAAAGCCTTATATGGGCTTAAACAGTCCCCAAGGGCTTGGTTTGAAAGGTTTACTCAATTCATAAAGAAACAGGGATTCAAGCAAGCCCAAGCAGATCATACACTATTCATGAAATTCTCCATTAAGGGAGAAATTGCAGTACTAATTGTTTATGTGGATGATATAATTCTTACAGGAAACTATTGTGAAGAGATTGAAGACCTGAAGAAGAAGCTTGCTCAGGAATTTGAAATCAAAGACCTGGGAGAATTGAAGTATTTTCTTGGCATGGAGATAGCCAGATCAAAGAAGGGAATTGTGGTATCCCAAAGGAATTATGTACTAGACCTACTTCATGAAACAGGTATGAGTGCCTGCAGACCAATAGATACTCCAATTGACCCTAATCAAAAGTTAGGAAATGTCAAGGAAGGAGTACCAGTTAATATTCACCAATATCAAAGATTGGTGGGAAGGTTGATTTATCTGGCACATACAAGGCCAGATATTGCCTTTGCAGTCAGTATGGTTAGTCAGTTCATGCATAATCCATTCCAAGAACATCTAGATGCTACCTACAGGATCCTAAGATATTTGAAAAGTTGTCCAGGGAAAGGATTATTTTTTAAAAGAAGTGACAATAGAAGTGTAGAAGCCTTTATAGATGCAGATTATGCTGGGTCAATAACTGATAGAAGGTCTACATCTGGGTATTGTACTTATGTATGGGGGAATCTGGTAACTTGGAGGAGTAAGAAGCAGAATGTTGTTGCCAGAAGTAGTGCAGAATCTGAATTTAGATCTATGGCTAATGGAATCTGTGAACTACTTTGGATCAAGAGAATGATGACAGAATTGAATATGGAAATGGACCTACCTATGAAGTTATATTGTGACAATAAAGCAGCCATTAATATTGCTCACAATCCTGTGCTACATGATCGTACTAAACACATTGAGGTGGACATACATTTTATCAAAGAGAAGATTGAAGCTGGAATTGTGTGCACACCATTCATATCTACTAAAGAGCAGACAACTGATATCTTTACAAAGGGGCTGTTTAAACCAGTATTTGAATTTCTTATAAGCAAGTTGGGAATGTATGATATATACTTACCAACTTGAGGGGGAGTGTAGAAAAATGTAGCATATACATGTTATTTTATTATGTGTACATCCGAAACTGTATAGATAGGAATTAGAGTTGATTTAGGACTCTAACTCTTAGATTAGCACGCAGTGTAGATAAGAATAGATAGATCCTAATATTTAGGATCTGTAACAAACCTTAGCTTATCTGTAATCTTGTATATATATCATTGCCGGATGGCTCAATAATACAAGGAAGATTAATTCTTCAAACCTACATGATCTATATGACAATTATATAAATAAATTGCAATCAATTAGTCAAGGTAATGAAGTAAAAGGCTGTGAGCAGAGCACAACTATTTGATTCACTAGGGATGTAAGTGTATCACTATTTTATGCAGTACCTGACATTGATGCCAGTTGGAATGACAAAGAGTGTAAAATGTTCACACAGGAGGCATGCAGCATTCATGACTGCACTATTTTAGTGCATTATAGCCTACACTTAATAAACCGGATTATTGTCCTCTTTGAGGCCTTGACTTCTGGCACTCTTATATCCTCTTTTATGTTTCAATGGCCTCTTATGATCTTATCTACAACTCTACATATTTAGTGGAAATAACTTTTGCTGTTATAGATTCAACTAATATTATTTATTGCTTTGCAGTCACTTTATGTACACATACCGGCACACCATCCAACTTCATATCCTGAATTTGAACTAACAACACTTCTGCAGGTAAATACGCTATTGTGTATTCATCACTCATATCTTGTATTCTTGTTATTTATCTATATCATTCGGTTTACCTTCCGGGTTAAAAAAAATCTATATCATTCATGTGGCAGTTGCCAAAACTCTTTTATTTTATTAGTGCTCTATTACTAGCATGGTCTTAAAAGGCGGGCGAGGTTTACGCCTCTCGTCCTCTGAGGTGCTGAGGCGTGAAGAAATCGCTTCTAAGGCTTAAGCCTGAATCGAGCAATACGAGGCTTAAACCTTAAGGTGTCTGAGGCGCTGAGGCTTCTCGAGATGTGAGGCTTAAAGGCGCCGAGGCTTATCGAGGCTTAACAGTGGATTAGTTTTTAATACGTGCTGGGCTAGTTTGCCTCAAGGTTTACGTGTGAGGCTCAATCTGAGGTTTACGTCTGTCTTTGCCTCGAGGCTTATGTCTCGTGAGGCATAGGCCAACCACATCATGGTCCAATTTGATCTTTCAAAACCTTGGTTACTTTCCAGGTGTAGGAACCTTGCTCAATTGTGTGCCTATTGCCCAAAGTGTAAACATGAAATTCTGGTTTTTGCCTATATTATTTGAGTTATATTCATCACTTCGGATTCCTTGGTTCGTATATGTTAATAATACTAAATTACTAAGTTATAAGAGTACTTGTGATGGTAGTTGTGGGGAACTAGACGGATAATAACCTATTCAAAGTTCGCACTACAAAAGGAAGTAATGATACTAGTTGATGATAAAAATAGAGGCAGATGGGTAAGACATTGAACAAAAATACAGATATGTGGATCTTGAAATTGTTAATGAACATTCCAAAGGAGAAGAGGTAAATGTAGTGCTCCATGAGCACTAAGCATTAAGCACACAGTGTTCTGACCACTAAGTATTTACCATGTTTGTGATTTTTAGGCCACACAGATAGCTCACACTCTCATTGAACTTGAGTGATCCCCTAAACAATACATATCAAACACACATTGTTCAGAGCACTAAGTGAATGTTTTTCTCCAAATGGAGAATGTACAGGGATTACATTGAGTGGGAGTAACTACAAGTAAGGAATATTGTAATTTAGATTTTGATGATGCTAGTGTATTTTACGCTTTAGTTCCCCAACTTTTATTTTAATGACTAGCAATTATGTAAGTTTAAAGAGTGATAAAAAGCAGAAGAGTACGGTCACAGGCGTAGTTGGGAGGTGAGGAGAATATTGAAATTAATAAAGATGAATAACTTGTCCACCCTATGCAAGAGAAAGTGGTGTCCAACGGTCCAACCTTATCAAAACTCGAAAGAATAATTCCAAAATTATTGATCTTATTAATAATAAATGGAGCACCTCTATTTATACTAGTTCTAAGAGGCTCGGTGGACCAGTACTATAGTTACCCTAAACCTATTGCAATACTGCTGTTAAGAATACTAACTAAAGCAGAATATGAATATCTATGGTAAATTGGTAATAGGAAACTACTACTACAACTACTACTGCTACTACTAGGAAACGGGTATCAATAAGAAAACTAATAATAATAATAGTAGTAGTAATAGGAAGTTTCACTAGTAAAATTATATTTGCCTACTGTTTTTAGGTGTAAGTTGTACTTACAGATGCTGTTTCATATCTTTGGCAGTCTGCAGCACTTATGTCTCTTGGGCTTCTGTATGAGGGATCGGCCCATCCTCAAACAATGCAGATTCTTGTGGTACTTTGCTCTATTTGATAAAGCCTGTCTAATGGGATTGTGGTATTATTTGGATGCATTATGTTTATATGACTTGGTTAATGTTATTCATCACAGGCTCTCTTTATTCCTTCAGTATTTGTTACTGGCGGATGAGGGCATGAGGATAGTAGTGTTCTGGTCTTTCCTGATCTTGCAGGATAATGTTTATGTGATAATTGATATATCCAGTTTGTGATTTAGCGTTTCTCATCTTTTTATTACATACTCGTTTTCCCTAAATCATGGGCGGTACTATTTATCGCTTTTTAGATATATGGTCTAATGTGCACACATATGAACTGTTTATGACATACTTTATAGATACTCCTTCAACATTACCATGCACATACTACTACTTAAGGGTCACTCTGATTCGCCTGTGATCATTTCCCTTCTCCAATGTTTTCTTAAAATTCAAAGAATTTTAACTTGGTTTTGTAAGGTTCTCAAAATTGTGTGTGCGTGTGTGTAAGAAGAGATCCACTTACTCCAAGATTAAGTATAATGCACTTACTCTCAATCTAAGAGCACTGAATTTAATTTAGTCCAATGTCATATACAGGTTGGTAAATCAATATCATTGGATCAAGGAAAATCAAATGGTGCATACTGAGAGTAAGTGTCATAAACTTACTCTTGGAGTAAGCGGATCCCTACACATATGTGTGTAGAGTATTGTGAACTGCACTTCTAAAATGGGGTTTGTGTGGTCGTAGTACAGTGATTAATTTTACTACCAATTTAAATGCAGGGTGAAATAGGTCGTAGAAGTGGAGGGGATAATGTACTTGAGAGAGAGGGTTATGCACTCTCTGCTGGGCTTTCACTGGGGCTTGTCGCATTGGGTATCATTCTCGACACTTCATTTGATATTCAATATTCATCACCCTCTTTAAGGTGTGTCGTTGAACATTCTCTTTTCTCTGAAGGTTGTGGAGAAGATGCTATTGGCTTTGCAGACAGATTGGTAGATCGACTGTTTCAATATATCAATGGCAGCGGTGGTCCAAATGTATCCAATGCATTACAATAAGTTGATAAAATGATACTAGTATACTACCTCCGTCTCAAAAAAAATTCTTCCCACTTTGAATTGGCATGCTTATTTATAAAGTGGAAATGTATGGTTGTGGTTGATATGGAAAATGGCGGAGAATGTTAACCACACAAACCATTGCTTTGAAGGAAAAGGGGGGAAAAATCGGTACATCCTAAACAGGAAAGTGGGAAGAACATTATGGGACGAAGGGAGTATTATATTTATAATTCTGTTTTCTGACAGAATTAACCTCCAAACTATTTTCTCGCCCAAATCATCTCAGGAGCGGTACTCATTTACATCACCAGTTGATGAACACAACCGCAGTGCGGGACAGGTTGCATTTGTATGATATTAAATTAAAATTACTCATTCCAGTTTTCAGATCAATCTCTAGGAAGACAAACGTTTCAATCCCCTATTCTGAATGTGCTTTTACTGTTTAGATAATGGATGGCACATTTAATAATATTGATGTTACTGCTCCGGGGGCCATAGTTGCTCTTGGTCTCATCTACTTGAAGGTAACGTATGTTCTTTGTTTGATGAGTCCCCATTCTTTTTTAGTTATTTCATTATATATATCTTGTATTTCTTGTTCTTTAAAAAGTCATTCATTTGGCCACCTTTACCATTTGCAGACTGAATCAGAAATGATATTCTCAAGGTTATATATTCCACAGACGCGCTTTGATCTACAATATGTGCGACCAGATTTTATAATGCTACGCATCATTGCTCGGAATTTGATCATGTGGAGCAGGTCAAATTGAAGCCATAAGATGCTCATTATTAATGTTTCATCGTTGATTATCATGTTTTGACAACCTATTTGTCATTGGCAGGGTTCAGCCATCTGAAGAATGGATTTGGTCTCAGATTCCACAAGTTGTTCAACATGGTATAGAAGGCCTTGCAGATGATATGGACAACATGGATGAGGTTGATGCTGAAGCTTTTTTTAGAGCATATATCAACATAGTGGTTGGAGCATGTATTTCCCTGGGTGAGTTGTTTTACGGGATCAATTTTGTTTGGTGAGACCGGGGTTTTTGTGTTGGTATTTTTTCCATTTGAAAATGATTTCATGCTTTATGGAATTGTAATTGTGTCACATATTGGAGTCCACAAGGTCATCACATTTTTATTTTGTGAAAGCATCACCATTTCTATGACATAGTGATATCGATTAAGTTAGGGGCTATACATTTATGAGCGATTATTACTTATTATAACCAATTTGCTCTTGCATTGGCGCCATCTTTTCATAAAGTATTGGCTCTTAATGTATGATGGTGTATAGTGGTGTATTACATAATTGTTTTCCATTACATCTTTCATTGTCTTATTTGGACCTCAATATAACATTTTAATGTTTTTGAAGGGCTGAGATTTGCTGGCACAAGAGATAGCAATGCACAAGAACTTCTTTACAAGTATGCTTTGTATTTCCTTAATGAGGTTTGTCCTTTCTATTGATACTTTTGTAGTTTGTATTTGAGCATTAATGAGCTAAATCCGTAAATATGAAGTAAATATTGTCACCTCTCTGTAAAAGCTTGAGTTTTTAATAGAGGTGTTATTTAATAACATAAACAGTATATATCAGGTAGATAGCTAATACTGCACAAGGTTCTCCTATCTGAGGGGCGAGTCTTGGATATCAGTTGAATTAATTAAAGAGTTACCCTATCTAACTTCTTAAGATTTTAGTTGAAGTGAAACGCAGCTCATTTTTTGCTTCTCTGCGTGCAGATAAAGCCTGTTTCTTTTACAAGTGGACATACCTTTCCAAAAGGGCTATCTGAATATGTTGATCGTGGCACACTTGAAACATGCCTTCACCTCATTGTTCTTTCCCTATGTGTGGTACAAGATCCATTTCAATGTTAGTTCATTTGGCATCATCTATTGAGAAACATTTCAAGACAGATGTTTTTGTACTGACAGGTTATGGCTGGATCTGGGCACTTGCAGACATTTAAACTGTTGAAATTTCTCAGATCTCGAAATTCTTTTGATGGGCACTCCAGTTTTGGTATTCAGATGTGTGTATGTACTCTGACCTTCTGGTTTTTGATTAATATTGTCCTAGATTTAGCAGGCATTTGTTGCACTGCTCTCTCGTGTATATTTATATAGGTCTCATTGATTTATGCCATTTCAGGTAAGCTTGGCCACTGGATTTTTGTTTCTTGGAGGTGGAATGCAGACCTTCTCCACCAGCAAAAGTTCTATTGCTGCTTTGCTAATAACCCTTTATCCACGGTTGCCAAATGGACCTAATGACAACCGATGCCACCTTCAGGTAACTGCGAAACCTTAAAGTCAGTCATCGATACTGAGTGCGAAGTTCACCCTTTAGGAAGTAGAATGACTTCCTACAGTCCTTGTGACTATGTGAAAAGACCTTTTTATTCAAAATTCATCTGGCAACCCTTGTAACTTTTGTGAAACTAAAACCCTATGTACTTGAATGTAGCTTTTAAAGAACAAATTTACACCTTTCCTCAACCTAGTGCCCAGATTCAACTGCCTACACATTGGATGTTAAAATATACCATTGACTGCCAATGGAGCAGTTATACCCTCTATATAAATAACACTACAATTATGTTCAACCTATTGTTATCTGATATGTGGCATGATTGTAGACAAGGTTGATGACCTACATGAAATGGCATTTCAAGACTTTCTTGCTTTCTTTTCAACTGCATTTATATTCATCATATTATAAGCTAAGGCAAGCATCATACAGGCATTCCGACATTTTTATGTTCTGGCAACAGAAGCTCGCTGGATTCAAACAGTTGATGTTAACACTGGATTGCCTGTCTATGTACCACTTGAAGTTACTATCCGGGAAACTGACAACTATGCAGAAACAAGTTTCTGTGAGATCTCCCCATGCATCCTTCCAGAGCGCACCATTGTAAGTTTTTTGTGGAAATACCATTGTAAGTTCTGCATGTTCCCAAACAATTTACTGTACTAAAACTCAACATTGCCCTTTTTCCAAACTTTATTTCCCTTATAGCTAATCTCTTTTTGAAGGGAGCCTTGGCACATAGGTCAAGATGTTGTGTGGCCGAGAGGCCACAGTTTCAAGTCTTGGGAGCAGCTTCTTGTCCAAAATTTGACCTTTACACCCTTGTGGTGGGACCCTTCCCGGACCCTCACCTTGCGGTGACGTCAATGTGCACCGGTGCCCTAAATAGTTATTACCTTTTTGTTGAAATGGTGATAGATTGTGCTGAAATAGGCTGTCTAATGTTAATGCAGTTGAAGGCTGTTCGCATTTGTGGTCCCCGTTATTGGCCTCAAGTCATTGAGCTCATCCCAGAAGGTAGTGTGTTTTTAAGATTATGCCCCCCCCCCCCCCCCAACAATCTCTGTCTCTCACTCTCTGTATACACACATGCTTTTATGTGTTCGGATAGGAAAAGGATCTGATGCCTAATTTGAATTTTAACATTTCAAGCATGATTGGGCACCATACCGGTCCGTTATTGAAGCTTGTCCCTATTTATAGATGTATGTATCTGTCAAAATTAAGAACTGCAACACTTGTACAGAAAAGCCATGGTGGACTTCGGGGGACAAGAGTGACCCGTTCAATTCTGGTGTACTATATGTGAAGAGAAAAGTAGGAGCATGCTCATATGCGGATGATCCTATAGGTTGCCAATCACTGCTATCACGAGCAATGCATAAAGTTGGTGTTTCAATTGAGTGTTTGTTTGATCTTTTGTACCTTGCATCAATTGTTTGCATTATAATATTCTTCTTGTCCCAGGTTTTTCGGTTCACACACTCGAGAGTATCTGGAAGTTCCAAGTCTATAGCTGATATCACCTTAGATCAGTTAGTCAGTACATTCTCATCTGATCCAAGCTTAACTTCCTTTGCCCAACTATGCTGTAATCCTTCATGGAATAGCAGGTATGCAAAACATCCTATTTTACAACTTTGCTTAAAATCCTTAATCAAGTATGAAGAAATAGGAATAAATGGAATCAAATATTTCCATTAGTTGTTCAATTTACCTGTCAAGCATATCGTTAGGTATGGAATTGCCTTTCATGAGTATTGCTTGCAAGTGCTATTCGAGTGTGTGAGCAAGGACAGGCCAGCCCTTTTACAGGTAAGCTGTGATTCTGAAAACTCTTCACTGAAACTCAGAAACGTTTTGGGACATTTGCCTAAGATAATGAAATGATTTGGTATAGTTTCCACTTTCCATAAATAACGAAATGTCTCCAAATTATGTTTCCTTGTGAGAGACATATTTCTCTACGTCTAGATTGCAAAAATACTTAAATAGTAATGTCTATCAACATAAAGATTCAAGATTTTAACATCTTTTGGGAGTTATATTTCTTGTTCTATACAAATTCGTTTAGAATCAGCATATACACCAATTTCTTCAATCACAAAGTTCACGAATAATTAATATATCAGAAGATTTAAATACATTGCTCTAATATATTTACACATTTCCCCCGCATGTCTTTTTCTGTATTTTTTAAATGATGTTTGTGCGTTCCAGTAACTGTAACTTTTGACTTTTCTATTTGATCATATTCAGCTAACTACATTGTTATTTTTATCTCTTATGAATACATGAAATGCACAGGTGTACTTGTCCATATACTCCACAATCGAGTCAATGGCTGAACAAGTCACGGGCGGTTCCAGTAACTTTAGTGATTCAATTTTCCTCTTTAGTCTAAAGGTTTGTCCAGTTTGTACATATATCAATGATCTTGTTTGGTGATTTAAATTGATAGTTTCTTACTTTTGTCCCGCCACCTGCTGAAGCTTGCACTGTCCTATGGCGAATCCTTGCTGAGTAAAAAACTAACCAGTTCAGGAAGTGGCATCATGCACACAACTTTTCTGGGTACAATAAAGAAGAGGGTGGAGGAAATTCTCAGTTCTTCATCCAATTTACAAAGCAATCTTGAGGATTATATGAAATCAGGAAAATGGCCATCTGATGGTAGCCAGGCTTCAACTCATCTTTCATGGTATCTACAGTGGTATGGAGTGCCATCAACATATGAACTTAGAAAAGCCAAGGAGAAAATGAAGGCCCTCGGCATGCCCTCATCTGTTCCTTTACTGCATTTGTTATTTCCGAGAACAAGTGTTAATGCACTTGCTGAGATCAATAGGTAGCGTCTGTTGTAATATCTATACTGCTGGTGTTGAATATCTCAGCATATGGGGCCGATTCTTAAGCTGAAACAAACACGTAATGTGTGGTGTTGTAAAATCATTTTTTTGCTTGGGAAGTGTAAATTAAAAGAAAGAACCTGTTAACAAATCAGGGTGATAACTGTTGGAAAGTGAGAAAGTCTGGTAAGATGTGCAACTAATTGTAACTTGTAAGGTAGGTTAGTTAACAAGCAGAATTAACTCAAAGGCTTGCAGTATAGTAGTTATAGTAATACCCCATATCCTCTCATCTTAATCTCTATTTTTATTTTGTACTAAAATGAATTTAAAGTTTTAGACTAGATCTAACTCAAAATGGTTTATATCGGTTTCTGTTTTTTAAAAGTTGATACAAATATGTAATTGCAATTTGCACAGATAAAACAGGGATGACAAAACAGGCAAATGTTGTAATTGTACGGATGTACAATGAACACAAAAATAGGACAGTGATACAGCGACACATCAAATGCAGAAGAGATACATTATACACAGTGAAGATTCATCCCAAAATGAAAAGGAACGAATGACGATAGAAGAAATGTAACCCTGCAAATGGCCACAGCTAAATTACTCCTATTGAAATGGTGGAAAGCTGAGAATAAAATTGCCGCAATGCCACTGTTAAGAAGGTAAAGTGGAAACGATATAGGAATATAGGATAATGGATTTTTACCAAAAAAAGATGGTCAACATACGTACAAAGTGATAGCTTATGCCTTTTGTGGTATAATGCTATTTAATCAAATTAGAAACATTCATAGAAATACCAAATATTTTCTTATTAGGGGGTTGGGTGTTTAAAATAAACTGCACGGAGCCACGGAGGTCCTTAGCTTCCATTATGCTGGGAGCCTGGGAGGCACTTAAGGCACTGGGTTGAGCCGTTGAGGCAATAGCTTGACCAGGTTGGAAGGAGCTATAGACAAGAGTTTGCCCAGAACCACAACATAAACTTTTTGCTGTCCTATCTCCTATGGACCCCAGTTTTGGGTGAGAAACATAATAATTTTATTCTTGAATGTTTTGCCTCGTTTCTTAAACTTTGTCTATTGCCACTAGGGATGGACTAGGCCGGGCCGAACCGGCCCGGAACCGAACCGGCCAGGTACTGTGCGGGCCCGGACTGGACCGGGACCGGTCGGCCGGTTCCGGGCTTTTAGCCCGTTTGGGCGGGCCGGGCGGGCCGGGCTCGGGCCCAGTTTTGGGCGAACCGGCCCGGGCGGTTCAAGCCGGGCCTGGGTCTTTTTTTTTGTTTTTCAATTTTTCTTCTTTTCCTAGGCTAGGGCTGGGTGTTTTGGGGAGGTTTGGGGGGTGGGGGTGAGGGGGGGATCGGGGGATAACAAGAAAGCAAAAAAAAAAATAGACATTGAACCGGGCCCGGCCCGGTTAGGCCCGGACCCGGTATCAACCCGGGCCGGTTCCGGACCCATGGATTTGCAAAAAAAGCCCGCCCGGGCCCGGCCTGGAACCGGAACCGGCCCGGCCCGGGTCCATCCCTAATTGCCACTTTGCCCCGAATGTTGATGACTAGTGTAATTTGTCACCTTTTCCTTTGAATCCAAAAACTGAACTCATATGAGAGAAGTCTTAAAATGGTACATGAACTTGTCTCAAGTAGCATAAAGAGTACGTTACATTACATCTGAACCATCAATGTACTTCTATTTAGTTTTTATAATGTCAATTGAGTATGTCCTTATTACAACTGTTAAAAAACAATGAGCTGACAATGTTTATAGTTGACGTGTCTAAAAAACTCAAGTACAATGAGTAAACAGTTTTATCATACATCGACATGGTAAAGAAAGTGTGGAAATAAAAATGAGATACTTGAATTAATTAAACAAAGACCCTTCAATCAAGGACGGATCCAGGATTTCAAGTCAGGGCGCAAATTTTTTTCGCTAGTATAGCACGGGGAAATTCTTTGACTTGTGTGGCGGGGCAATTTTTTGGCTAGTGTAGGGCTTAACGGCTATTTTTCATTCAAAAAAATCCATTAATACATACATGAAGACAATTAAATCTACATTCTAAGTTTAGACAATGGAAAAATAACTTGGTTTTATAACCGTAAGTGCTCTAGGAAAAAATATTGATACATTAAAGCGTAAGAAATGACAAATCAAAGGAAAATTATTTGAAAATAAAAAGGATATATAACATTTTATCATATTATTTGAAGCTAAAGAGTTTAAAAGGTATACATCAACCAAAACTTTTTAAATAACTTATGTCTTGTTTAACCACATGAATATGAATAAAGAGTTGGTTTTCGAATTGCAATTTTTGTCTACCAATGTGGATGTTCGTGAGTCACGAGGAGTTTTCTTAATATTACGGTAGTATGATTATTATATTATATGGAGTATTGTTAATTCATATATATGGTGCATATTATATTTGTATTAATGCTAAAATAAGTTAAATTTTATTATCTATGCAAGAAATTATTTTTAGAAAGTAAGAAGTAAATGAATTGTGTGATTTACTGTCAATAAACCTTTATATTTTGGATTCAATTCACATGATCTAAAAACTGTTTAACTAGTGTGCCTGATATTTAATATCATTTGCTATTTTACAAAATTGAATACTAACTATCTAATAAAGATGATTAAACATTTCAAAACTAGAAATTTTTATATAATAGGTATCCTACGTCTTAAATAACGAGTTGTTCATATTTCTTTCTTCCATTTTTTTTGGATGAAATGTAAATATATATTAACACCCAAGAAAACTATACATCAAGAAGGTTCTAGATCTCCCAAAACCCCCCACCCGTGTCAAGGGTTAGGAGAGGTTTTTGTTCGATCCAAATAGAAATCAAAAGGGGCCTAAGTATACAATACTAAATGCCCAAGACCACAAAAAAATAACTCGGTGCTGCAAGCGTGCACGCACACAGATCACAAAAAAATGAAAGGGAACCCAGTCAAGAGGAGGTTATAGTATACACTCCCCTTAGCCCAAACAGAAATCCAAGGTGTTGCAAGGCGCGCACACACTTGTCCCAAAACGGTTATGCCGTGGCTCCAGCAGCCATCCCTCAGAACTTGATCAAGTCATGCGGGTATAGACTATATAGGACCTTATGCACCACATGTTTGATCTTAGCAATGATATCTTCTTCCGTCTTCGATCCTCCATCAAAACGTAACTCATTCCTTGCATGCCAGATGTAGTAGACCGCGGCACGGAACACTAAACGGGCAGCCTTTGCCTTCAGCGTTGATCCCTTGCGCGTCTTCATGATCCACTTGATGGCGCTCAGCAGTGTTGTCATATCATGTCCGAATCCCATCCAATTCCTAATATGCTGCCATACCCTACAAGTAAAGGGGCAAAGGAAGAAAAGGTGTGGTATTGTCTCCAAACCACCCTTGCACAAGTCACACCTATTCACCAAGTGTAGATAACCGAGGCTATTCTGGGTAGGAAGCCGGTTCCTTATAGCTTAAAGCCAACCAAACGTTAAACGAGAGTTTCGGGGGGATGTAGGATTTCCAGATGAAACTCATCCATGCCCTAACCGTTCCTTTAATTCTTAGAAGCTCATACACTTTGCTTGAGATTAGTTTTCCGTTAATTGATCGAGAGGCTAATCCCAAGATGGTGTCATTTTTATTATTTAAACATCTCATGATATTATCGCGTATGGTCGCCAAATTCTTCATAAAAATTGAATCCCGGTTTATGAATTCTTCATAAACACTCTTACCCTTAAGGTAGATGCCATTCACCCACTTCACCCACAAGGTGTCCTTTTTTAGGTGGACATCCCATAGTGTACGAGAAGGAGGGCTTGATTCCAAATTTTTTCATTATGTATACCAAGACCCCCCTCCTCTTTTGGGAGGCAAATGTCGTCCCATGCCACTTTCGCGAATTTCCCTCACCATAAAAATATACAACAAATGGATACAATTCTATCTAGAATAGCTCGAGGTACCGGAAAAACTTGTAGCCAAAACGATTGGACCCCTTGGATCACTTATCTTATTAGCTCGAGTTTCCCGACATAAGAAATGGTTTTCGTATTCCAAGCATTTAAGAATTCTAAGATCGTATCAATTAAAGGGGCATATTGGGCCACCGATACTTTAAGTGGGGCAAGGGGAATTCCAAGGTACTTGACCGGGAAATTTCCTTGCCCAAAGTCTACAATGTCCAAAATGTTTTGGAGTTCAAATTCATTCACACCCCCCACGAAAATGTTTGATTTATTGTAATTCACCCTAAGACCCGATGCATCCCCAAAATCTTGTAGGGCTTTGACGAGAATTTCAATAGAGCTCTTGTCGCCCCTAGAGAACAACATAAGGTTATCATCATAGGCCAAGTGGGAGATTCGCAATAGTGCACATTTAGGGTGAAAATTAAAATTGGGTCCATTTGTTCTCAAGTTGAGTGATCGGGATAAGTACTCTAGGCACAGGACAAACAATAAAGGAGACATTGGATCTCCTTGTCGAATGCCCTTTTTACCCTCAAAGAATCCATATAGCGACCCATTCACTGAAACAGAGAAAGATGCAGACGTGACGCATGCCATAATCCATTCAACAAATCTCAAAGGGAAGCCCAAGCCCTTGAGCATCCTATCAAGAAAATCCCATGAAATAGTGTCATAGGCCTTACGAAGATCCACCTTGATCATGCATCTCGGTGAGATCCGCTTCCTCGTGTATCCTCTAACAAGTTCCTGGGCTAGGAAAATGTTATCAAACATGAGGCGGCCATCAACAAATGCCCCTTGGGCTTGATCAATCATGGCGGGAAGGCACGGTGTGAGTCTCACCGCTATAATCTTTGTGATAATTTTATATAACACATTCGTACAAGAAATGAGTCTATAGTCCGAAACTTTTGGGGAATGGTTCGTTTTTGGGATAAGTGCGATAACCGTGTGGTTAATTTGTTTGAGCAACTTGCCCGTACAAAAAAATTACTTAATAGCATGGACTATGTCATTCCCCACCGTCTCCCAATTTGCTTTGAAAAAAGCCGAAGAAACCTCATCCGGGCCCGGAGCCTTGTCATTGCCAATATCAAATAGAGCGTTTTTAATCTCTATTGATTGAATTGGAGCAACAAGGCTTTCATGAAAACTAGGTTCAATGAGGGGGGCCGAGGCCAAGACCATGGGGTCTAGGGCGAAACAATCAACCTGTGTACCAATCATATTTCTTTCTTCCATCTTATCATTTGATGTTTCCATTTTCAAATCACATTTTTCGGATAACGAGTCCGGACATCAAAATTAGTTCTCCAAAGGTAAAAAGTCGTAGCAATCCAATAGTTCGAACTTTGATAACGGACGATTTTGTAAAGCTCAGCAAATTAGGAAGAAGAGAACATGTAGAAATCAAGGATGGCGATGGGAATAACACAACCTTCACTCACACCTTTCACTTCATTAGTTAGTGCAAATGGATAATACAAAAAAATAATTCTAGCCAACTATCATTTTTTTTAAAGAAAGAAATTTTATTAAAAAGAACCAGAAAGAGTACATAAGGGAAAAGAATAAAAATAAAAAAATAAAGCGACAAAAGTACAAATATTACCCAACCCAAAGTCCTTTATCTCTATATAATCCCAAGTGACCTCACAAGTCTTCAAAGTCCCACACGTGTTTGAGATCCATTCCTCAAAAAATGTGATCGTTGATTCTTCTTCATGTACATTTTTGTTTGAGTGTTTAAATTCCCAGTAGGCAAACAATTTTCTCTCGTCACAAACAAAGCTTCTTCACAAATATTCCGATTTTCATCGGAATTACAAAGGTCCTCAAGCGTCGAAATAGGAACTCTCTTCTCATTCTCCGAGATGTGACCAAGAAATTCATTCCCTGAGTATGTATCAAAAGGGTCGCCAAAAAATCTCTCTAAAGTAGAATCTTCGTGATCATAGTAGTTGGCCCAAGAAGAATTAGTTAGACCAATCGTTGGCTCTGGTGCCTTTACCTTCTCATGAGCATCTTCCTTCAAAGCCACTGTGCATCAGTGCCTCCCCTTTCATCATTAGAACTTGTCTTCAGATCATCCCGTTTACCCAAAATAGAGACAAGAGTTTTTTCAAATTCTTTGATCAGAAAAAGAGAAAGCGAGTTCACTCCATTGGTCATAATATTTTGGAAGAAGTCCTTAGGAGAATCAAGTCCATAATTTTGTTCACGTGTATCCTCAACAAAAATCAACTCCATGGATTTGTCACAAGAATTTGTGTGTTCTATGTCAACTTGTAACAAAGCTCCTGAAATAGAAAAGTCATTCTTATCAAGATGTGAATTATCACTACCCAAACAAAGGGGAAGGATATGCCAAGCGAAATCACCTGATGAGACATTTCCTGTTGCCATTTCTAGTGCATGTGGACGGGTTGATTCCCGTAGTCGGTTTATAGCTCCAGAAAGACCTTCTCTAAACCTAATGACGCCAAATCCTTTTTGCCCTCCGGGATAAACAAAGAATTAGTATCCGAAAAAACTCTAACAAATTCCCCAAAATGATTGCTATAAAAAATGATAGTACGAAAGTTGTTAGTTACTGATTTTCTAGCCAACTATCATTTTAAAAACGTTGATATGATAGATATAATAGGTCGGCTTTAAAATTAAAGTTGATGTACTTTATAATATCGATTGTAAGATGAAGTACTACTTACTTCTCATGAGACAATTTGATCAACCAATGTGACCTTTTACTCGAACTCATAAAGATGTTTAAAAATGTATAGTAATAATTATTAAAGATGTCAATAATACATTTTGAAAAAAGATGTCAATAATACATTTTGAAAAAAGATGTCAATAATACAACAAGAAGCATAATGATATTTTTGCAAGAAGGTACTTCACCATCTCAGATTTATTTTTGTAAATTAGAGGAACTCGGATTCTTTCAAAAATATTACTAAAATAAAACTTATTTAAACAAAAATGATTAATAGTTACTACAATGTAATATCCTGATAACTTAAGTTTAAAAATTGAACATAAATTATTATGATTCTATTACTACTCTAATAATTAGTCATGTATATATGTAATTATTTATACTATTTAACCCGTTTGAGTATGACTTTTTAAAAAGGAAAAAATTGGAGTAAGATGGAAATTGAAAATCAAAGGATGACTTACCAGATATTGCTTCCTAGGAAGATCAATGGCGTTTGGTATAGACACAAACATAAGCACTCGTATAATATAAATTTCATTAGGTCTTGAAATTAGAGCCCGTTTGGTAGCACGAAAATCGGCTGTTTTGGTTGATTCTGCTGAAATTTATGAAGTTCTGGCTGAAGTGGCTGCATTGGTTGATTCTGCTGATACAAGAAAAAAATATTTTTAAAATATATTTTATTAATAAAATAAAGAAAAAATTATATGTAAAAATAGCTAAAATGATCATCTACAGTAACTTCAACCAATACAGACAGAAAAGTAACCTCAACCTTACTTTTTCGACTTATTACACAATTCAGCACGCGTAAGCAAAATTTACGTGTTTGGTAAAAAAGTTGACTGATAAGCCTGATCAGCCAAAAATGAGGGTTGCCAAACGACCTCTTAATTTTTAATATCAAATTTGTGTATAGTCTATCCCATCCATACTTTTCTTTGTAAATACTAAATAGTACTAGTATGTTCTTAAAAAATTCGTGAATAAAATTTGAGTTGAAATTATAATTATTATACATTTTTTAGAAGAAATTTCACTTATGGTCCTTCGAGTTTTGCACCAATTCCACAATCAGTCCTCATTTTTCATTTTATCCATTTTTGTTACTTGATTATTGTTTTCTTGACTATATATAGTTCTTTTCCGACAGTAAAAATGCTCAGAAATGGATCACAAATGGTCAAGAAAGCAATAGTCAGGTACTAAAAATGGATAAAGTGAAAGACGAGAACTAAATAGATACAAAATTCAGAGGAGCTAAAGTGGAATCAATTCCGTTTTTTATGAGAAAGCATACATATAAATTATTTTGGTAACTTGTTTTGTTTAAAAGTAAATAAATTTGAAATAACAATAGCTACTCTCATACTCCGTATTTCAGATTTGTACCTACTCTTACACATGACACATGAGAAAAAAAAGCTGGAAACAGTTGAACACAGTTGGATCGTGCCACGAGACGCATCTCTCTGAACAAGTGGGCAAGCTTTTTACAGTTCAAAGAAAGGACCCGGGGAGCTCTTCGTCTTATGTGACAGCACCATGCTCGCTAAATTATTCCATAAGTTCTCTTCTCCGCAGGTAAATTTCTCAAATCTGTCTGCATTATGTTTTTTGTTTTTGGTTAATTGTGTTATAGTTTTGATGAATTATTACTACGTTCTTGATATTAAATGATATGAAGTTTCTGAGTTTCAGTAGTCTAAACGGCTTATAAGCAAATCAGAACAGTGAAAGGTAGAAAATTGAGAAATTATGCAGCAACTCAGTTTGTTCTTTTCATTTCTTTTATCTTTGTTTTTGGTCTTGCTGGTCTGGGATGGGGGGAGTGTTCCTTTCTCCCTCTCCATATCTACAAAATCTTCTGCCCCGCCCTGGCATCATATCCCCACTAATCATGCCCCTCTGGCCTCCGGCCGTACTGGCAGACCTGGTCCTCACATTGCACAGATGGATAATATATAAAGACTGTTCCCTAGAGATACTAATGTATAACAACATTTTTTTTATCAAAAACAAAATTTCATACTTAAAGTTTTGTTAGCCAAATACAGAAACAGGGCATTAAAGAAACTAATAAAAAAATAAACCGTTAATTATTACTATTTGAGTACTTGATGAATCATGAATGACGACCGGATATGCTACATACCTACTCACATGGAACTAAGTAATCCAATTAGGAATTTAGAATCAGGAAAAGCTGAACATGATCTATCATATATGGAGTAATTTCTTTTCAGACTCCAATTAGCTTTCAGTAGATCAAACAAACTGCTAATTTCTAAATTCTAAACATAGCAGTGTAATTGTATATCACACAGGATAACAAAAGAAGATTAGTGTAATACCATTGATGAAATCCGGGTGCACATTAGAGAAGTAGAACAAAAAATTAAAATTTATACTTGAGAGGCCTTTGATGAATTGAATGAAGCGGTGAAGTGTGGAGGTGTGCTCCTGAGTCCTGAGGTGAAGTGCCAAATCAGTTATTGAAGCCCTCTGGTGTGGCTATGTGGAAGTCTCCAAAGTTTAGGCTTTTTTCGTGTGTAGATATCGAAGAACAGAAGCATCTTGAATATTACAAGCTTGGCTCTGTTATTTATGTTTTTTTAAATATATAAAAAACTGGGGAATATTGGGCTCTAGAGTCTAGGCACACGCCCCATTGTCCCTGTCCCAGAACTGGCCTTGCCTACAGGTGCCATGAGGAAGAACCAGTAGCGTTTTATATTGGAAATTTGTAACAACAAAAAAATTGTAAAATAAGTATTACAATCACCAAATCAAATTATTATTAAACTCAACAAGCTGTACCAAGTTAGTAAAAACAAAAGTACGAGTGAATATATCTTATTACTATGTAACCTCATTACATAGTCATGTTACATAAGAGTATTATTAGAATATAGTGCTATGTAATTAACTGTTAGGAACCAGAATATCACCAAACAGTTTCCGTATTATTAGCAATGGAGATTGAGGAATTCTCAATACTCCAGACTGATTACAGGGAAGATAAAGAGAATAACAACCAAATCTAGAGAAGGAACAAAGAATTTCTCTCTAGCCAAAGCCCAGCCATTTCTAACTGAATACCAGCCTGCCCTCCCCTATTCCCCTCCCTTCCTTATATTCAGAAATCAAACCAGCACATTAATTACTCCTGCCCCCTCATTCCCCTCCTCACATAAACTCCCGTCCCTTCATTCCCCTCCTCACATAAACTCTTGTCCCTTCATTCCCCTCCTCACATACACTTTATTAAAATACTCTACACCCCTTGTGCTATCATTACCCTCCCCTTGAACTACCACCTTGTCCCAAGGTGGAATGTTGGGAACTGCTTCTGAAACTTGTTTAAATCTTCCCAAGAATCCTCAAAAGCTGGCAGCTGTTTCCAATGAATTAGCACTTCCTTCTCCCCATTAGGATTTACTCTGTAATCCACCACCTCTTCAGGCTGCACTTGTAACTCCCACTCTTCTGAGATGCAGGTAGGTAGGGGCTGGCAGGGAAGGTTAGGAGATACTGCCTTCTTCAGCAAAGAGATATGGAACACTGGATGCACTGTGCAACCCTCGGGTAGTTTCAGTTTGAATGCCACAAGATTTATTTTTTCTATCACTTCAAAAGGCCCATAGAATCTTGGGCTTAACTTCTGATTCATCCTTTTAGCTAGACTTTTCATTTTATAAGGCTGAATTTTTAAGAATACCTTGTCTCCCACCTCCACTTGTAAGGGCCGTCTATGTTTGTCAGCCTGCTGCTTCATCCTGTTTTGGGCCATAGCTAAACTGCTCTTCAATTCTTCTAGCATTAAATTCCTCTCAGCCGTCAACTTGTTGACTTCTTCTACTGATGTCACAGTTACATCTCCCCTCACAATAGCGGGAGGATCTTGTCCATATAAAGCCCTGTAGGGGGTATTCTTGATAGATATGTGATAATTAGTATTGTACCAATATTCGGCCCATGAGAGCCATTTAGGCCACTGTTTAGGCTTCAATCCAGTGATACATCTCAAGTAGGTTTCTAAGCACCTGTTCACCACCTCCGTATGTCCGTCAGTTTGAGGATGGTAAGCTGTGGAGTACTTCAGTTTGGTGCCTGCCATCCTGAACAATTCTGACCAAAAAGAACTCAAGAAGACCCTATCCCTGTCAGATGCTATGGATTTAGGGAATCCATGTAATCGTACCACCTCCTGAACGAAGACTTCTGCCACCTCCTTGGCTGTGTAAGGATGTACAAGGGCTATGAAGTGGGCATATTTGGTTAGCCTGTCCACTATCACCAAAATTGTATCCTTCCCTTGAGCCTTGGGCAACCCTCCAATAAAATCCATGCTGATATCTGCCCATATTCTGTCAGGGATGGGCAAAGGTTCCAATAATCCTGCTGGACTGAGGGTCTGATACTTGTTTCTTTGGCATACTTCACATCCTTGCACATATTCTTGTATGTCCCTTCTCATGCCAACCCAATAGAATAAACCAGATACTCTCTTCATAGTTCTGAAGGCCCCGGCATGCCCTCCAATTGCAGAATCATGGAATTCTTTCAAAATTAGAGGTATTCTAGGAGATTGCTTAGGTAGTACCAATCTTCCTTGATAATACAATAAGCCATTTCTGAACTTGAAATCTGGTATACTAGCTGGATTTCCTATCACTCTTTGTATGATATTCTGATATCTCTGATCTGCCTTCAATTCCTCATCTAGCCCTTCCCACTCTTGACAGGTAACAACAGACAAACTGTG